GGGTTGTTGTGTGGTGTGGTGTGTCCAAAACCCCGGGGGGGGGGAGTGAGGAGAAGGGATTATAGTGCCATCTAACCTAGCGGGGTAATTTCTCACTTTTCCTCTCTCTCCCACACAAGTACATGCACCTTAGGGTGCACACACACACACAAAAGGAAAAGCTGAAAATCTTAATAAGCTGTGGATCCTTCAAACATCATAAATTCATAGCTTCTGACACATTTGATATTGGATCTTTAAAAGCATAGTTTCGGAAAGTGAAAGTACTTTGTACTTTTAAAATGTTTTTATTTTTTATTTTTTGGAGAGATTTTCACGATAGGGCGTGTGCGCTCGCCAGACAGACAGAGAGAGACATAGAGACAGAAAGCGAGAAATCACCCCCCAGGGGGGATGGTCACGCCACAATCCCTTCTCCTCCATTCTCCTCTCGGGATCTTGGGCACACACGCACACGCGCCCGGCATGAGTTTTAAGCCACTGGGTCCCGGACGCGAACCATGGTCAACTACGTGGGAGTCCAGCGACATAGCCATTACGCTAACTGCTGGTTCCCTGTACTTTTAAAATGTTAAAAATGTCAAGAGATATTTGCTACAGGGTGTGTGCACTTGCTGGAGAGACAGAGAGATAGAGAAGTGAGTCATCATTCCCCAGGGGCAATGGCCGCACTGCAGTCCCTTCTCCACTCTCCTCTCTGGAGTTTAGGCACATTTGCACACACACTTGGTGTGAGTTTCAAGCCTCTGGTTCTGGGTCTTGAACCACAGTAAGCCATGAAGGAGTCTAGCACGTTAACCACTAGGCTACCTGCTGGCCCTAAGACAGACATTTTTAAAGGAAGCACTGGGAGAGGTACCCATGTATTTAAGCAAGCACCTACTGTAATGTCTGATAGCACATCTGTGTTCCAATTTACATTTTGGTAACAATACATCTCTTATTATTATTTTTAAGGTAGAAGCTATTATTCAAGTTGTAGAAAAACAACACTACTTTGAAGTCAGGGGAAGTGAGCTGAAGTGTGTGCCCGTATTCAAACATCCACACAGGCTCAGGTTGGGAGTCTGAGATCCTAGTTTAACTTGACTCTGAACACTGAGCTCCTAGCAGGGACTTCCAGGCTTGGGTCCCTCACAAGTCCCCAAGACACAAAGAATTTAAGAGGTCTCCTAAAGGACCTAAACCAGGCCACAAAACATCCGGAGACAAGCCAGTAGGTCCGGAGGATGATCTCTGTTTATGAAATGAGTAGACGTGGCCACCGTGGTGCAGGCCCCAGTGATGCTGGGAGCCAGACAAGGCTCACTCCCAGTCTCTGCGGGATGCTCTGCCCAGCTCCTGGCTGGCTGATGGGGCGAGAGGGAGAGCCGCCACCTGAGACTCTTCTGAAAGTGCTTGTCATCTTGTTCTCTGTCTCTCATGAAATAACGACTTTTTTCTGTTTTTAGAGAGAGACCATTAGCAGGGATTTTAATTGAAAACTTGTTTTCTAGTTTTCATGATGTATCTCGAATTCCAAATTTAATTTTCTACCACTATACAAGAAAAAACTTGGAATGCTTGCATTTTATACAGGCAATTTAATTAAAAATATGCCTTTCACTTCTACATCTTTAAAATTTCAATTTCTCCCATCATGTTGCCTGGCAACTGACTCTGAGCACTTCTACGATTCGTGTACTTCATCCACGGACTCCAAGGACGCTGTATCTCTTCGTCCCACGTGGACTAAATGTCTCTCTTCTCTCTGCTAGTGCAACGCCTAATGTTCTTTACCTTCCTCCTGTCCACAACAGATTTCCTGTCAACATATATTGGTTTTATTGATAGATACTCGATTAAATAGAATTTTCTGGAACATAGGCCAATCTTGTGTTTATCTGTGTGCATGGCATGTGTGCAGGTTTCTGTGCATGTGTGTGCATCTGCCCATGTACATGCTCTTTGAAATGTCTAAGAAGTAAACACAAGTTGAACGACTGCCCTAGTGAGCACAAATTCAATAACTAATTTGTTTGGAAAATAATTAAGGAATAAAGTGTATTTTCTGGAGAACAGGGTTTTCTCCCCCTGAACTAGTCATTGTTGCAAAACCTGAAAGCTTGCAGAAAATGATTAATTTCTTTTCAATTAGAATCTATTGGCTTTATGGTATAAAATACTGCTGAAAGAAAATGAAAGAATATATTTTACTACTTGATTTTCATTTAATGATTTATTTTAACATTTCCTTTGCTTTAATTTTTTTTATCAGTCAGTAGGGTAGACACCACATGAAAACGATATAGTTTATACTTTAAATCCCACTTGTGATAACTTTTTCCATGTGAGAAATTTTTATTTTTATGAGTTGTAGTATAATTTTTAGTGTCAAACAGAAAGCAACTTGTAAGAGGGAATATAATGAATTATTTTATTTTATGAAGGTAAAAAGGATGATGAATAAACTCACTCTAGAAAAGAAGTGCAGCTCTGAGACCAGCAGATGGCGTAATGGCTATGTCACTGGACTCCCATGTAGTCGACTACGGTTCGAGTCCCGGACCTGGTGGCTTAAACTAACACTGGGCACATGTGTGTGTGTCCAAGATCCTGAGAGGAGAATGGAGGAGAAGGGATTGTGACGTGGCCATCCACCCTGGGGGTGACTTCTCGCTTTCTGTCTCTCTGTCTCTCTCTCTCTCTTTCTGGCAAGCGCATGTGCCCTATAGCATAAACCTCTCAAAAAAAAAAAAAAAAAAAAAGAAGTACACCTGAAACTTTCCGATTAATGAACTCAATGCCACTGGCTTACGTGCACGCACAGACACACACACAGCAGTAGACGTTGAGCTGTGCAGATCTGGTGAGCATCTCTCTGTCTCTTGCACCTTCAGTTGTCACTTATAAAAGGTAAAAATAAAAAAAAAAAAAAATCTGTAAGCAAGTTGTAAAACACCGCAGGAGAAATGAAGGTAAGTGGTAACAATGATCTGAATGAAAGACCAGACTGAAGGATTCTGTAGCTGGTGCTGGTGGCAATTACCTCGCGGGAGGTGACTGCTAAGTGGCTTGTGCATAGACGGTGACCTTTCTATCGCGTGTATTGATGCTCTCGACCCCCGCGTGCAGAACTATTTATGACGCATTATCATACAATTTGCATACGATCATGCAATGATCATAAAAATCTTCTGTCACTCCCATTTATTTTCATGAAGAGAAGACTGAAAAAGCCATTTTTACACTATAGATTCAATCAGTACATTATGGTTCTAAGCTACTAAGATTATAAGATGTATGATATTGTACATTAGAATTAAAATGATTAAGAAGAGCAGGGCTTACTACCCAACCGCACTAAAATATTTCAGCACCAGTAACAGTTAACCCAATGCTATAACGTGTACAACTACTCATATAAGTGGCGGTTAATCGGGACTGAGTACGTGCTATTAAATTGCATTGTAGTATTTGTTTTACTATGCTGCTTACTTAATACTACAGTACTTTTATGATTGCTGTATTATAAATATGGAGAAATGGAAGCGAAGGTCTTTAAAGCAATTTTTTCCAAGTCACTTAAGAACAATGCTAGTTGTTGACTCAAGTCTGAATAGTCCAATTCTTTTTATTATAATTTCTGATTTACATATTATTTTTGTACATGTTACTGGGGTACCATCTGCTTTTTAAAAAAAATATTTATTTAAATTTATTTATTATTATTTTTCAATTTGCCATAGGGCACATATACTCCCCAGAGAAAGAAAGAGAAAGAAAAAGTAAGAAAGCAAGCCATCAGGTCCAGGATTCAAACTGCAGTCAGCCATGTGGGAGTTCAGTCCCCTACCCCCCCGCTGGCCCCTGCCATAATTTTTTTAAGAGAGATTTTTGCTATAGGGTGTGTGTGCTTGCCAGAGAGACAGAGAGAGGCAGAGAGACCGAGAGTGACAAATCACACCCTAGGCAGTATAGCCACAGCCCATCCCTTCTCCTCCATTCTCCTCTCGGGATCTTGGGCACGCATGCACATGCCTGGCTTGAGTTTTAAGCCACTGGATCTAGGACTCGAACAGGGTTGACTATGTGGGAGTTGAACAATGTAGTCATTATGCCATCTGCTGGTCCCCATATTTTTTAAAGCTGACAGGAGCTCAGTGCTCTCTAGGGCCGAGGGTTACCCCTCTGCACGTACGTGCCATGAGCTCTTGGTTCTTCTGTCGTGGGCTGTTAACTGCTCCCAGCCCTCCTTACCCACAACCCTGTACCCAACTGGTTAAGAACTGCACTCGGGACCAGCAGATGGTGTAATGGTTGTCACCGGACTCCCACGTAGTTGACCACGATTGGAGTCACAGAGCCAGTGGTTTGAAACTCATGTCCGGCACATGTGTGTGCATGCCCAGAATTCCTAGAGGAGAATGGAGGAGAAGGAATTGCTGTGTGGCCATCCCCCTGGGGGGTATTTTTTGCCTTCTGTTTCTCTGGTGAATGCACATGCCCAATAGCTATAAAAAAGGAAAGTTTTCTGTCCTTCAGTTGCACGGTTTGGGACAAATGGGAACCTTTAACAACACCACCATGTAAAATTGTATTAGAAAATCGTATTTATTTTATGTGGTTGCCACAAGAACCGATCACAAATACAGTGGTTAAAAGCCACCCACATTTATCACCTTCTATTTCTGTAGGCCAGGAGTCCGTTAAAGTTCTCACTGGGCTGAGCCCAAGGCACTGTGGGAATTGTGAGGTTTTTCTGGAGGCTCCAGGGGAGAGTGCATTCAGGGCTGCTGTGGTTGTGAGTGTGGACTCTTCACTTCCTGATGGCTGCCATGGATCCATACTTGATTCTCAAGGTCTTTCTCGGCTGCTGCACCCAGCCCTGCACCTCAGAACCAGCAGTGACAGTCGCTCCTCCTGGGCTGCCTTGCCCCCCGCCGTCTGACTGGCATCTGCAGCTGAAAGGTCCCCCACCACCAAGCACTGAGGAGGAGTCAGCTCCGCTTACACAGGGAGCCTAATGTCACCTCCAGGTCTATGTCCTAATAACACCTGTAAATTCTGTTTTCTATGTAAATAATATATTCACAGGTTCTGGGGATTCAAGTGTAGACGTTTTGGGGGGGCATTTTTCTGCCTACCACATAAAACACTGAAGGTTAATTTCAAAGCACAGCCTTAGACGTTCTTCTGTTTGGCTTACCGAGCAGCATGGTGGCTTCAGCCGTGTCCAGTGCGCCCGTCGGCACTGCACAGGGAGTGGAAGAGGCAGAGGCACCGAGGGAAACTTCCAGTACCGCGGGGTTAGCGTAAGTCCAGATTGGATTGGATTGGATTGGAAATACCCGAGAATTATTTGACTAGACTTCAGAATGCCTCCTCTCCAATGTATAGTTCCAATTATTCAAGTACACGTGTGAGAAGGAACACAGAGTTTCCAGATCGTATTCATAAACCAAAGAGACATTTTTATAGACCTTGTATTCCAGAGAAGATGCTCTTTGAGCAAGGACAGCCGGCCATGTGGGATCCAGCTACCATAACCACCACTCCACTGACTGGCCCTGTTTCTTTGTTTGTTTCTTTGTTTATTTATTTATTAAATTTGTCACAGGGTGTGTCCACTCACCAGAGAGAAACTAAGAGAGTGGGGGAGAGAAAGAGGCAGGGGACATGAGAAACCGCCCCTCATGGGGAAAGTCATGCGGCAGACCCTCCTCCTCTGCCTCGCTCCGGGATCCGAGGTGTGCAGCGGTCCCTCCTCCTCTGCCTTGCTCTGGGATCCGAGGTGTGTGGCAGTCCCTCCTCCTCTGCCTCGCTCCGGGATCCGAGGTGTGCCGCAGTCCCTCCTCCTCTGTCTCTCCCTCCGGGATCCGAGGCGTGGGGTGTGCACTCAGATGTGCCCCGTGTGGTTCCCAAGCTGCCGTGTCCAGGACTTGATTGCACAGTGGGCTGTGAGGGGTCCAGGTGCCTTAACCACCTTTATTTATTGACTTATTGTGGTTCTGGCATAGGCTGCCAGTGCTCCCAAAGAGAGAGACAGAGAGGGAAAGTGAGAAATCACCCCCTCAGAGAGATGGCCACACCGCCATCCCCTCTTCCATTTTCCTCCTGGGATTTGGGGCATATGTGCACATGGACCCAGTCTGATTTTCAAGTCACTGGGTCCGGGCCTCCAACTGTGGTCCTCCATGTGGGAGTCCAAGGCCTTAACTGCCATGCAGGTCTGCAGGCTCCTCTTCATTTATTTTTAATACCAACTTGTAACTTTGTAAACACATAACCAGAATTGAGCGTGGCGAGGGGGATTCAGAGACTGGAAGACTAAAACTCCAGGATGAGACCGTGAAATCTGTAAGAGTCCTAATCAAACTTGCCCAAATATGTATTTTTTTTGTTAGTTTTTTGAGTACTTACAGGAAGAACAAATATGTATTTTTTTTGTTAGTTTTTTGAGCATTTACAGGAAGTCAATGGAAAGAGGAACTGTCTAAAAATACACATATATATATATATATATTTTAAAGTTGTTGGCTCATGGTCAGACCTTGAAATTATAAAGCCTAAACCTTTCCAGGAAAAACAAAGACAAAGACAAAAACCTGCAATGTCCCCTATCTTTAACGAGACCCTCTACCCCCAGACGTGAAGCTTGCACCAGTGGAGTTCAGGCCGAAGTACGGGGCAGACAGCGGAAAGGTATCCACCGCGAATGGAAGGAGTGCAGAGAGAAGCGGAGTTCAGAGGTGAGCCGCTATTCCCTGGGAGACGCCCCTTCCATAGGCCAGAGCCAGCCTGCTGAGGGACCACCAGTGACGTGGGAGCCAAGCAGCAGAGGCAAGGCTCCCTCTAGGACAGGCTGTCATTCGTATTCCGAGAGAGAAAGGCGCCTTCGTGCTCACGCATGTAGAGTTAGACGGTGACTACGGAGTGTCAAGCTCAGATGAGGAGCTCCCTAAGTTAGTACAGGTGCCAGAGATGTCTGCTGGAGGGGTTTGGAATGTCGGAGATTCCAAGGATGTTTTATAAATGGTAAAATAATTTTGATTTAAAAATCTCTAGCTACCAAGACAGTAGAATCAGGGCGGGCGTCCACGGCGCCAGGAATGACGACAGGTGCTCTTCTTCCTTTCTTAGGTTGGTTTGTGGGTTTGGTTTGGTTTGGTTTTTGCCATGTGGCACATGTGCTGGCTGTGGAGAGAGACAGAGAAAAGGAAAATGAGAAATCACCCCCAAGGGGGATGGCCACGCTGCAATCCCTTCTCCTCTGTTGTCCTCGCGGTATTTTGGGCACACACGCACATGTGCTTGGTGTGATTTTCCAGCTGCTGGGTCAGGTCGGGCATGTGTGAGTCCAGAGTCTTAATCGCTGTCCACCTGCTGGCCCCTGGGTGCTACTCTCACTATGGGATCGCACCATAAATATTTAGGAGAGGGGGTCTGTCACGACAGCCAGCTCCGTTGTTAGTTCTGAGTTTTTGTTGCTTTCCTGAACTTCCTGCCTGGTAAGGGGAGCAGGAGTGCCCGGTAGGGGGAGGTCCACACACCCAGTGTTGACTTGACAGTGGGAGCGTGTGCATGGACGATGTGACCGTACTGGTCAAGCACCTGCAGTGGCGGTGACCTGCAGTCAAGACAGGGTGCTTGTTCGTGCATGCGTGGCTGCGGGAGGGGAAGGACGCTGCCTGCTCCGGGCCCTCCGGTGACAATCTGGCAGTAAAAGTCACGTGACCTTCTCCCTCTTGGCCCTGGATCTGGCTGCAACCTCGACAGTGAAGAACGATGTGACAGATGCCCTCTCTGCTGGAGTCTCGGGGCCTCCTGCTCATGTCCACCTGACACCGACGATAAATCCGAACACCCCTCGCATGAGAATCCAGTCTTGCTCTACCCAAGGTCGGTTCCTCACTTTGGGATTAATGAACATATTTGCTGATTTCTTAGGACAGATTGCTGATAATTGTGGAATAAATATCATTCTAAGAAAAACTTAATGATTTGGGTAGCCAATGAAATGGTTGAGAAAAATGGAAGAGAGAATACGGGAACTCGAAGCACATTGTCTTTTACAGAGCCCTCTCCCACCTCTTCTCCTGTTTGCTCCCATCGTTTCCCCACCATGTTTTGGTTTCCATATGTTTTTCAAACTGCTAGGGCCAGGATTCAAACTACGGCCAGCCATGTGGGACCTGCTCCCTTAACCATGGGCTATGGGATGGCCAAGGCACACCTACTATAGTTGGCTGCCACTTGCTCTGTCTGAGGGCGCGTTTGTGCGCCTTGCCTTGTCCTGAGCCCACGGCGTGACTTAGTCCTGACGCCACCTCTACGAGTCCCCATTATACCACCACGTAGCTAGGAAGACAGGCGCAGCCAAGACGTGTGGTCAGGGAGTAACTCAGAATTCGTGTTTTTCGAGGTGTTCTACCAGATGAGGACAGCAGGGCGAAGAGCGGCTGCACTGATCTCTTGTAAAAAGGCAAATGAAGTGTCCAGCTGATGAATGTCAACGAGGGAAGGGAAAGCAGAGGGCCATGTAATTCACGTTGTTCTTACTGCAATGCAAGGTGAGCGTCCTTCCTGTGTGAGTGATGGCAGAGCCGATGACATTGACAAACTGCCCAGCACGCCCAGTTATCCGCCTGCCTTCCTTGCCAGCTGGGATCACTCACGTAAAGGGTTCTTTTTCTTGTCCTCCAGCGGTTCACACAAGTGCTTACCAGCATGCTTTCAGCTTACAGCTCCACGCCTGAAGCTGTCCACTGACTACTCATGGAATTCTGCAACCAGCAGATGCTGCCTCTTCGACGAGGCAAGCATGTTGGGATCCAGAAGACTCCACAGACATATGGCAGCCAAGAAAGCCAGTTACTTCCCATCCTCACTGAAGGCCATGTTCAGCTTGGGGAGAGTTAGGGACAGGAGAGACCCTAGAGGGCTTGCTGACAGCAGTCCTGGGAGCCTTTCCGTGGAAGCTGAGTTGGGAGGTTTGCAGTGCCCATACCCAGATGATAGGTGAGTTCTTCATTGATCTCCACTCGTGGTTTGTTGAAGTTTTCTCAAAATGCACTAGTCTGGACCAAGGGGTGGATCAAAACCACATGGTGAACAAGCTCGGTGAACTTTGCCTCGGCTTTCTTGGAGACTGTCCAGTCCTGAGGTTAACCACCATTACGAGAAGTTGGTAAAACAGCAAGGTTAGAGTACGACTCAAGTCTTAGCAGCAGTGACTAGTCACTACTGGGACAAACTAGTGGATGACAAAAGATAAAGAAAAAAAATTAAAGACTGCTGTGGGGCTCTCAGCTTAGAGCCCTTTATGCCAGGGAAGAGCCCCCATTCTAGCCAATACCTGATGGAAAGAGGAAGAGGGAGGTCATGTTGTTATTGCATGAGGTCAAAACATTGGAAGAGGATTTGCAGAGAGACTGGCGGACACGGGAAGTGCAGGAACAAGGGGAAATTCTTCCGACCGACACCTGGCTAAAAAACTTGGCAAATGGCTCAGAGTTGGGAGAAGCCACATTGCAGAGGTGGAGACTGGCAAACCCTGAGTGTCAGGACCCTCGCCAGGCTCGTCTAGCCTTGGCATTTTTGATAAATTCTAGTTCTACTTATTATGCAAATTCTCATCAATTTCTCACTTTCCATTGTGTGATCAATAAACACAGGTCCTAGCATCTCTGCTCGGCCTTCAGCTTCTTCCTCTTCCTTTCTATTATTTTATTTTCGGGTAGGTTCCCTTACTAAGGAGCATGTCGGTTTTTCCTCCTGATTTTTCAGTAAATTTATTTATAATTTTATCATGTATACATATATAGTACATATATTATTATATTATATATTATCTAATATAGTGTATATTATTATATAAGTATGTCATCTCATATGTACTATGTACTATAGTACATATATTATATATTTATCTCACATATACATATATATGTAGATATTTAATTGCCAGAGAATGTACACATTCACCAGAGACAGAGAGAATTTATCCCCCAGCGAGACAGATCCGGCTGCAGTCCTCCTCGCTCCACTCCGTCCCACCAGGATGTTGGGCACACACACACACTTATACCCAGCCGTCTTTCAAGGCACTAGGGCCGGGACTTGAACCTTGACCAGCCACGTGGGATCCGGCTGGCATAACCACACATATATTATTATATTATATTTCATCTAATATAGTGTATATTATTATATAAGTATGTCATCTCATATGTACTATGTACTATAGTACATATATTATATATTTATCTCACATATACATATATATGTAGATATTTAATTGCCAGAGAATGTACACATTCACCAGAGACAGAGAGAATTTATCCCCCAGCGAGACAGATCCGGCTGCAGTCCTCCTCGCTCCACTCCGTCCCACCAGGATGTTGGGCACACACACACACTTATACCCAGCCGTCTTTCAAGGCACTAGGGCCGGGACTTGAACCTTGACCAGCCACGTGGGATCCGGCTGGCATAACCACTGTGCAGTAGGGCTGGCCCTCCCGTGACTGCAGAGAGGCGTGCGCTGACGCTGTGCCCCGGGTGCAGCACCTGTGCAGCCTCCATGGAGAACGGCCTGTGAGTCGGTCACCATGTCACCATGTGCCTCTGAAAGAAAAGTGGCGCCGAGAACAGCTGCACCAGGCCGTGCCGGAAACCACTTGGATCTGAATCAAATCGATATATTGCTTTGTATCCTGGAGAGTAACAATACTGGTTTAATTTGAGATATCAAGCCAATAAAAACAGCTCACCAAATGGATAAGCTATAGCCACATGTAAAATTGTAGTCTGCAATTGAAAGGAATAAAATTGGTTACAAAAAAATAAAAAAAAACAAACAAACAAAGAAGAAATTGTTTTTCAATGGGACATTTGCCCGGCAATAACGGAATACTACCACTAAAGAATGAAGGTAAATCTGGTGAAGGTGTCAGCCACCGCGGAGCTTTCACAGGGGCTCTCCTGTCATTTCTGGATTCCTAACCCTGCCGCTCTACACATCCTACTTCTCTAGTGCTGTCCAAACTTCCTTTCTGTACTCCATCTACGCATCTCTCTGTCAGCAGGCGACTGCCCCACCTTCTTCCCTTCCTCCTTGTTCTTCTTTACTCTCTCTGTTCTTTCCTTCCGTTGCCTTTATGGACAAATCTAAATTCTTATTGGCTTTTGTGTACGAAGAAACCCAGTATGTATGACAAATTGTTTTCTTAGAGTTTCAGGATTCTCTTACTATTTTCTCTAGTCATTTACAACTATTTTTTAAAAAAAGATTTCATTGGTACCACTAAAGGGAGCTATGATTATCTCAAAATTAAATGAATGCCGGGAGCCGCCGGAAGTAGGAAGCGCTGCAAAACAGATGAGGTGACTACCTGCCAGTCCTTGAGAGGGGCACAAAGCCACGCCCGGCAAGTCGCCACGTTGCTCAAACGAGGTAAGATATCCAGGGTGCTCGTCAGCCGCAGGCCACAGCGTGTTAGGAAGTTTACTTTAGAGATAAAATAAACTACTGAAAAAAAAGAGAAAAAAAAAAAGGAAGGAAAAATAAAGAAAAGAAAGAAAGAAAGAAGCAAAGAGGAAGCCTAGTTTTGTGGGCCAGGTTAGTGTTCCAGATGGTGGACCCCAGCTTTTGCAGAGTGGACAGAAGCTACAAAGACCTTGCGTGATAGTGCTTCAGATCCCCTCGTCTGGGTCCTAGGAACCTAAGTAGCTTTT